GACGCAAAATGTTGTTTACTAGAAAAGAGTTCAGTTCAGATCAATATACTGGGAGCAAATAGTGGCAAAATGGGGCCAAATCCAACATTTGCTGATATCGAAGGAATTTCCTAGACTACTAAATGCTGCGGGTAAAAACGTTTTGTTTTTCTATAAAGGAATATTTAAACAGGGACAGAAACTTTTTAATTATATTTTTACAGAGAATAGAGAATTTCGTTTTGCGTTCATGAAATTGAGCTAAGTGCAATTATGAAATTACGCATTATTGTTTGGAAAACAAAAGCGAATTAAATTTAAAAGATTCTATTTTGGAAACCCGCTACGTTTTGCGTTATAACATGACATAATAAACTTATAAGGCTGCAATTTTTTACCCCACCGAAAATAACGACCGTAAAAACATATATACAAGCACTCGAGACCTGCCGTAAATTTTCCCTGTCAAGAAGTATGCAAAAGACGACCTAACATTTTCTATCTATTAAACTGAATCATTGAAAAGAAAAACTATAAACGGAACAGGCAGAAGATTATTATTTTTATAAAAAGCATTGTTAATATTCTGCCACTATCTTCTGCTTTTTTTATCTTAGAGCTGAGCCTAGAAGTAAACAAATATACTGACAACTGCTCCGGTATAAACACAAAAGCGAATTCTTTCACTTTCAGCAGAAGATATATCCTTAATTTTTAGGGAATTCAAAAAACTGGTCAAAATTTCCCATTTCGATTTTTACTTTATCTTCAAAAACAGTTAAAATACGCAGATATTCGACGCCGAAATATATAATTAAAGCACTTTTCAAGGGATAACTTGTTACGAAGAGATTTTTGATTAATCTTAAGCATATTTATTCGCGACCTTTTTTAAACGTTCGTTTTTCTCGGCAATGAGTTGTCATATTTTTATGAGAACTTTGTGGCTCATTCTTCATGTTCCAATCGAAAACTCATTTCAGAATTTTGGTTGACATTTCATGAGCTAGGGCATTTATTGTTTACTTTAATATATGAAGCTTGTGTAAACTACTTCGAGGAAATAAGACTTTTGTGAGGTCTCCGAACGTAATCTCCACAAAATCAAAAAGTGTAATACACACGATGTTTCATACTTTTTACTCACCATTTCCAAACGCATACTTTGTATGGTTGTTTTCCAGACAAAGCCGTTTGTTACTCAAAGAACACTGCAAAATTGTTTTTCCTTTACACATGCTTGGAAAATATTTAAGAACCTATCGTTAACGTACAGTAGGATACATTACGTTTCCATGACATCTTACATTAAACATTTGAAGACAACTTAGAAGTTGTCTCAATCCTAACTAAGCGATAAATGCGGACGTTTCCTCTTGCGTTGTAAAGGGGTTAAGATAAACCATCGGAAAAACCAAGTGGTCGCTTCTGGATTACTGCCAAATGTCAGTGGATTATCGTCAAAACCCAAATCCGAGAGTCACTTTGTTAAGTTTTTTGAACATCGTGCATCGATAAAAATGACTGAGTATATAAGGTCATCTACAAGTACTCGAAAACTGCTCACTGTTTAAGTATATATATATACTTTGACAAGCCCTATTTGCATATATATCTTGTAAATCAATCTTTGGAAACCAAGAGTCTGTATTGGATATGCATTGAATGTAAAATGCTGAGAAAATTCCAATACAATTCGATGACTATCTTTTATCGTGCTTATACAGTTACTGTAAATGTTTGCACATTACATTGAAGATGCTGAATAAATTACCTTTGGCACAAATGGTAAAAGAAAATGTTGCTCTGCAATTACGTTTCCTGAGATGACTATGCCCTTGGCCTCCGCACTACTACCTGGTGGAAGAACTTTGAACTTTGCGTTAGCACCTCCTGAGCCGAGAAATTCTAACGCAGTAATCTCCTTCGTATCCATTATTTTGAAATTCACCTGTGAGGAGGCTGCGAAGCAAATACAAAAATTTAGTTCATACATTATCAGCTCTCCTTAGTGAGAATTCTATAATTTTTAAACATACCATTGTCTGTGTAGCACTGCGGTGTTAACGGGATGAGACACTGAGGGAAATCATAGTCACCGATTTGGGCTGACTGGAGAGGATTCAAATGCATCAAAAGCGTATTTACTTACAGTAACCTTGAAGCCAGGATGGACGGTCGATTCAAAGTGATGTCTGCCAGTAGCAGTGAGGATGCTGTGCACTAGATTTCAGATAAATTTTGGATAACTTCTCAGTTTTATCAGGGTTGGTCGATAGTATGGTAGAACAGAAGTATTCTCACATTAAAAACTTACAAAGTATTAGGATTCCCAGGAAGGGATTCGACTTTTTCATTGGCCTTCAATTAAAAGAACAGAGCCTTACGGGTCTTAATCAAGTAATTGTTTGATAGAATTAGGGCAAAAGTAGTTTAAGTAGTGCACCTCATATACCCTAGTCCCAGCACTTTGTCTTATGGAAACGGTAGTTTAAGGGGGTTTTGTGGGTGAAGAAATAGGGTAGTCGGTGAAGTACATTTTAAGAAGTGAGTGTGAAGTGGAAAATGCAATTGAATTTGTTTCCTGTGGCCGCTGGGAGTAAGTCGTTCCGCATATAAATCGAT